CCATTTACTATTGATTTGCTCCTTAAAGTGAAAGTGGATCGGATTAAAATGACTTACTTCATTGATTTTTTTTACAAAATAAAGCAGCGCTCAATCGAAAAAAAACTCTTCCGTGCAAAATTAAAGAACTAAAATTGCTGTCTCCAGCAGTTTTTACAAGATTGTTTTATTGTTTAAATTTTCTGAAAACCATTTTCTTAGTTCAATTTTAGGACCAAAATCAAAGTGGTCGCTAACTTTGCTCATCAATTACTCAATTATTTCGTATAAAAGATCATATTTCACTCCCGTATATCGTTTAAAAATATTGTTAAGAACATTTCCTCCGAAGACAACATACCTGTAAAATGCATTATTTCAATGAAAACCATATTTTGTAACGCAGTGCTAATGCTTGGAGCATTAGATTTCGTTTTCCTAAGCTACCAACTGGCTTTTGCGTGTATCTGTGCGTAAACATGCGCCAGGTTGAAGAAAAATATGATTTGGAACGCTCGCACAAAATAGAGTAAGCGAAAAAAGCCACACGACGGGGCGATCCATGAATGAATTAGCAAGAAAAACCATCAGCACCGTCAGCAGGAACAAGCTCGCGCGTGGCGTTTTTCATTCGCAATAATTGATGCATATTGTGAGATATATTTTGGTATTTCAATTCGAAATATTTTGCGAAAATGATCGATAATTGAAAACGGATGCTATTCGGCAATGTCAATGTCGCAAGAACTCCATTATGAAAGTGCTTGAAAATAAATAATAAAAATATTTTTAAATTGAGAGTATTTCTAAGTCATGTTGGAAACGCGTGTATTTGTGAAATAATAAAAACAATTCAAGTGTGTGTATGAGTAAGTTAATTTAAGGATACTCTGTGAAAGTTTCAGCCTATTTGATGGAGGTTTTCTGATATATCTGGATATTTTTAAGGATAAATGGAACTATTTTAGAAACCACCCACCTTTGCCATTGCTAAATGAAATATTTTTCAAATCAAAAGGTTCCTCAATTTTGACATGTTGTTTCACAAGTATTTGAGGATATTGTGCGAAAATTTCAGCCTATTTGATTGACTATTTCAGTTATATCTTGATATTTTTAAAGATAATTAGATAAATTGAACTATATATTCAAATATTGTAGAAATCATCCACCTTTGCCATTGATCAATAAAATATTTTTTAAACCAATTTGATCTTCAAATTTAACAAGTTGTTTCATAAGTATTTGAGTATATTTTGTAAAAATTTCAGCCTTTTTGATGAAGGTATTCTGATATATCCGGATATTTTTAAAGATAATTCGATAAATTATACTATTTATGAAATCACCCACCTTTGCCATTGCTAAATAAAATATTGTTTAAATCAAATTGATCCTGAGTGGCACCGGTTGTGTAGTGGTAAGCGTGATCATCTTTCACCCCAGCAGGCCTGGGTACAATCCCAGTTGACGCCACCGGGATGTTCTGATATGTCTTGGTATTTTTAAAGATAATTACATAATTCCATGAACTTCGGCAGAACTTCCCTGAACTTCAGCAGAACTTTCCTGAACTTCAGCAGAACTTCTCTGAACTTAGGCAGGACTTCGCTGAACTTAGGCAGGACTTCGCTGAACTTCAGCAGAAGTTCCCTGAGGTTCGACAGGCCTTCCCTGAACTTCGGCATGAGTTCCCTGAACTTCATCAAGACTTCCCTGATTTCCATGAATTGAAATGAAAGGACTTCCCTGAACTTCAGCAGCCCTTCCCTGAACTTCTCTGATCTCCAGCAGGACTTCCCTGAACTTCGGCAAGACTTCCCTAAATTGGTAAGGTCACTAAACTGGTAAGGTAAGGCAAAATAGTATCGAATAGAATATTGATCTAGACCATTTTTTTTCTTCTGCTTCGTAAAATCAAATATTTCCACAATTTTGTTTTGTTTTGTTGCGCTTGACAAAAATAGAACTAGGGTTTTTGAGGGCGGGTTGCCCTTTACCTCTCTTTTCTGAACGATTTTAAACAAAAAATGGAATCATTCTGTCAAAGATGACTTCTAATTTTTTTAACCTTTCCATGTACCGTTGAATTTGATAAAGAGTCACAAATTGTTGAGATATTGTTAGTCTAATATTGCTTCTTGATTCTAAATTCGTTCTTAATTCCGTCCTAACGCATTGAAACGCCATTAGATTTTCTTCGTCCTACGGATAAACGTAGACAAGGGGATTCGCTAGGAGTGCTTCTTTTGTTTTGAGAACAATGAGCGTAAATATTCATACAATGCGCTCTAACATGATTTATGTTGTAGTTAATGAACTAACGCATCGGAAAAAAAAACCCATTATTTATTTGTACATAGTGAAATAATTGATATTATTGATCTTCTCTGGTCGATAGAACGGAAACGGGCGTTTACGACGAAGTAGTGCTCTACCTTTTAAAGACAAAAAGCTTATCATTATAGTGCATAAAAATCAGTGACTAGCATGAAAGAATTTAAAAATCCTGTTTGTCCATTTTCTTTTCATAGGAAGAATGGAAGCAGAACCCGGAAAATATGTGCGTATCACTCCAACGAATGAGGAGGACGACATCGACGAGATCGAAGGAACTCAAAGTGACACAAATACTAGCCAGGAGCACATCAAAGAAATAGAAGATCTTGAATCTCCTGCCAAAACATATTATGCCTGTACAGATAGAGCTACAGTCCTCGAGAAAGCGGTCGTAGATCTAGCCCAATTGCTAATGGAAAAGCCTTGGGAGCAATCAAAAGCCACACAAGTATCCAAGGATGTGACAAATGCTTCGTGGGGTGGACTTAATGGTCAAACAATGTCAACGGAAACACAGTCTGCGATCCGGTTTATTCCCTCCTTTCCTAAGGACATCCCCACGAGTGGAATGCGGGAAGCGTTTGATCATTTCTACGTCCGAGCCTTGACGCACCAAACTGGATTCACGCACGCTCTCTCGTCAGGTGTTCGGCGACGATTAAGAAGATTTCCGTTGCGGTACGAATGCTGCTAATAGCTGGAAAGCTAAAGCTGGAGGTGTTTTAGTGGTTGTAAATTCAAGGTTTAAAGTGAGGTTACTTGGATATGCTTAGAGCAGGTGTCGACGTCGATCAAACTGGGCGATCGTACCTTGTTTCCGGTGTAATTTCCTCCCGACCGTATACGTGAGCGTGACCTCATCGAAACTCATTGCCAATCGGTTTTCTCTGTTTTTGTTTTGAACACGTGGGATGTCGATGTGTGCAAATTCATGGCAGTGTAAGCAGGACTGCTGCTGCCCTTGTATCCCACCGCAGTTTCTTCGCCCTGTATTGTCACGAGTGAAGAAATGTTCTTCGTTACTACCATTCGAGCAACACAAACACGGGTATTAACACCACCAAAATCACTGTATCGTTCACCCACATTAGATCACGAACACTAATAACTAAAAACTACTAACGTAGTCGGTGAGGAAAACTGAGATCTGGTCGTTGGTGATGCTTTCGGGTAGTTCAAGCCGTCGTAATCCGTAGCTCGTAGGACTTGCCATCAAACACGAACTCGTGCTTGCCCAAGTAACAATTTTGGTTTTATGAAGGTTCTGTAGACCATGATTTAGACTTGTAGAATGCTATAAAACCTCTATAAAACTGGAAATGTTACTTGGGTGCTATCGCGTTGCCCCGCGATCTTCTCGGCAAGTTCAAGGTTGTTGACCTTCACGAAGGTACATCCAAGCCGTCTGCTTGGTTGGAGTAGAAGCACGTTTTCGCGCGTAAGACCGAGTTCTTTCCCGATGAACTTATGGATCTCGTCATGAGAGAGGATCTTCGGAAACTGCGAATAGTCAACGCGAAACGTATTTTCGCGGCGCGGCATCGCGGAATATGACGTCGTGGCGAACGCGAACGCGATATTTGAAGCGACGGTAGAAAATAACCGATAAAGAAACATACAATAGTCCGTGAACGACTTCCGAAACTTGCTTGTCCAAACACATTTACTGATCGGCTCGGAATTTGAGCGCTAACTTCTAAATTCAAAACTAACATTCATTTTCTATTATAATACAATCATCAACAGAGCAAATAACATGCGTTATAGTCACAGTTTTCAGGACCCGTATGCAATACAAACATTATGCATTGCTTATGCAAGGTCTGCGTAGTTTGGTTATCTTTTTCAGTCACGCACGAAGAACGAAAAGAATCATTACAAAAGCAATTTTTATTGTTTGCTCTTCGTAAAATAGGTCGGACAAGATATTCTTTTCCATCATATGAAGCCCGCTGCATGCTCTTCAGGATCCAAACATTAAAAATACGCCCCAAATTTTGTAATGGTTTAATTTGTAAATGATATCGTTTTGCATCGCATTGATTCAAAAAAACTTTTATCAAAATTTAATATTAACATACCCTCCCGGCAACTACGGAATCGAATTAGTTTTATTACAAGCCAACATCGTACAAACTATGCCAAATTTGCAATTTTGAGTGATACGAATTGCAAAACTATTGACTTTACAATGACAAAAGCCAAAATGAAGCAATACTTCAATTCTATTCGTTAATTATGAACACGCAAAAGTAGTACAATGTAAACATAATACTGTTGTTTGTTTTTTGGATATAACGTTGTTTAGAAGTAAGGCATTAAATGTAATCATCATTGTTTCAAAACGGTCTACTCTTGATTGAAGACAAATAAATAAATAAATAAATAAAGCCTTTCGGTACACATCGGAAAAGCAAACAACATCGGATTTGATAGTTGTGGAAGTGCTCAAGTTAAGAGCAGTCATAAAGTTCAAGTTGGGCTGAATGAGCCAAAGATGAAATACAAGAATTCAATTAATATGATACAGCTAAACGATTGTTTTTTACAATTATTATTAAAGGCTACGTAGACTCTATGAGGAGGGGGATTGGTTTCCGAAAATACAACTAAGTTTTGTGAATGAGGGATCTTTGAACGTTGTTTTTCTAAAACGTAAACCTTTACTTGTTAGTAGTTACCTTAATTTGTAGACTCCATCTTTCTCGCGAGATATTATTACTTTATCAATTCCATTCTTGAACTCTCTTCCGTCTCTTTCCCATAACAAAGTAGGAGTGGGAGTTCCTCGAACGTGGACTTCTAGTATAAGATCGTTCACTCGAATGTCATAGTAGTCTATGCAATGAAAATACAATAAAATATTAGAGGGCGGTAAAAATTAATAAATCATTGATGATTAATGGTTAATCATTAGCATTTAGCATAACTCTTAAGACATTTATCATCAATGATTAAGATTAATGATTAAATTAATTGTTAACCAATTGAAGACAAGATCGACGGAAAACAAATCAAGGAAAAAATAAGCAAAGTATAACATTGGCATCCATAGACACATTCTCGAGCTGTATACATATATGTATAGCACTTTAATAAACTTAATGATCAAAGCCATGCTTAATGCGTATGTAGATACAGTACAGGCAGAATGAAAAAAAATCAATTGCACAGACGACCACTTAACACTAGACAACACACAAAACACAACACCCAGTCTAGACAAAAATCGAACCATCACTTCGTGGCACTCACAATACGCCTTAACGACGGATGACGCCGCTAACCGCATGATCATCACGAAGCTCACATGCAAATAAAATACATGCAGGATGATTCCATCACAGGCTAATTAAATGTATGCGCGTTTTATCATTATTTACTACCAATCTTCCGACAAAAGCATTAAAACTCACCTGTTATTCTTGTAAATGTAGGTTTAGTTTGTACTTCTTTGGTGCTTGAAAATACAGTAACTTTACAAGAACACTCTATTTCACTGTCTGCGTTCTTAGCTTGCGCCGTGTATTCTCCTGCGTCTGATAAAGTCACATGGTTGATTTTGATGCAACCAAACTCGGCTTTAGTTGCATTTACTAAATCCTTACTCCATACTAATGGTTTTCCATTTTTCATCCACTTGTATTGAGGTTGCGGCCCAGCAACAATGCATACAAGTTTAAGGGTTCCGCCTTCTTGTGCAGGAAGGTTTTTAAGTTTAGTTTCCCATGTAAGCTTCTTTTTAGAATCCCTTATGATGAATGGTTCTGATGGACCATCATCAAACCTTCGCCTGGGCATTATTTTAGGTTTGTAGACCGGTTTTGATTTTGGAGGTTCAGGTTCCTTTACAACTTCTTTATCAGTAGATTGGGCATCTATGGTATCACCCTTTTCTTGTTCTATATCCTTTGCAGTAGAATCTTGATTCTCTTCGTTTGTCACACTGTAGACACTGTCGTCTTCATTGACCGGTGGTGATGTTTCCTGTGATATATTTAGGGGTAAACTAAATGCTAGTTCCTCTTCGTGTTGCCTTTTAAATCGTTCGGCGTGTTCAACACGATGTGCATGAACGAATTGCTCATTTGAGTTGAAGTTTACTTCGTGTTTAACTTTACTTTGGCCATCACTATTATTAGCGCGACATTCATATAAACCACAATCCTCCAAATGAGGTTTATGTATGCGCAACTGGTACTTCCCGTTTGGTTCACGGTTCAGCATCAATTTGTCATCATAAGTAATTTTTTCCTCATTCTTGTACCATTGAATTTCTGGATTAGGTACACCGTGAACTTGTGTTTCCAGAACAAGATCATTAGCTCTTGAGTCGTAGAATTCTGTAAATAATAATAAGATTTATTTCACAAGGCATTCGTAACATATATACTTATTGTTTTGCAGTATGCGCTCAACTCCGATTTTACGCGTTTTTTTGTTGACGTAGACTACGTCTTACGGGAAGGTACTGGGGGTAAATCGTAAACCTAAAATCGCGACCGTCATGAAAAGGTGTAAGGTTTTGAACGCTTATAACTTTGTCATTTATAGATGAAATTAAAATCCAAATACGCCAATCGATAGGAAATAACTCTCGTAAGCTTTTTCAATTTTTCATAAAAAAAAACTGTTAACTGTTAAAAATGTACAAATAAAAAGTGAAAATTTTATCACTGTTTTCATGAAATAAACGTTCTTCCCAAACCCAGTCGTGATAATCTGAAAAGTTATAAAGCAGCGCTGCTAAAGTGCTTCAACTCATTTCGCTTCGAATGGCAGGTAAGTAGCAGCAGTAGCAGTAGCAGTAGGAAGGCGGTTCCTGTCAAGCGCGCAGCGTTCGAGTTTTTCACCTCGAACTTTGCGCGTCGTTGCCGTCGAGATCACTGGCTGACTGGTAGCGGCGTCGCCTCGATGACGCAAGCGCTCCTTGCCTGAATGATAACTACAAATCTCAATTACTTTTTCGAAAGGACATATCAGCTTTTGTAAACAACGCATTTTATCGTCGGTTTGGCATAACTGATAGCTTGCCCACATTCTAACACCACTATAACAGGTAGGGGAAAATTTCTTCCATCTGATGGTAGTGTTAGCATGCGTGGGTGAGCTACCAGTTACGCCAAATCGACGATTAAATGCGTTATTTACAAAAGCGTACCTTCGAAAAAATAATCGAGCCCATGTGTACCAATTGCCGAGTTAAATTTAACTCGTGGTTAAACGTGACATTTCGAAAGTTATTTTCAATGTTCGAAAATGCCGAAAATTGATCAGTTTTCAAACAAAACTCAGCCACGGTTACCAAAATTTAACTTCTAGTCGGTCCGAAATAACCACGCTCGTATAGTAGGGTTATTCGATAACTCATCTGTAACTTTTAACCACGAGTTAAATTTAACTCGCCCATTACGACACCGCCTTGGAAGTAAAATTAGGGCCATGCATAAATTACTTATATTTCTTTGACCAATTAAACCACCTAATACATGGCCGGTCCCAACTTCTGAAACCCCTCTCCTCCCTCAACTACTACGTTATTTATCAAAGTTCCCTAATCATTGGGTAACAGTGGAAATCAGCAGCACACACCACACAAAACGGGTTGGAAATTTAGGCGAAATTTCGGTATTGATCGTCAATATCTCGCGATCGGAACATTTTAGCTTGAAATCCCTCAATTCAATTCTCGGTACATCTTTAATCTAGTGATTAAACAAAAATACTAAATATGGTTTTAAAAAAAAAAATCTGTGGTGAAAAAAAAAAGAGGATTTCCCTACACACATTACAGACTCCTGTACCAAGCACTGAAATTATCAGACGATACCTCTATTTATGCTTTTAGATTAGCTATGAAAGTCCATCCTGTAGTAGATAGAGTTAGTGTTGAATAAATAATGAGTAGTGATAGTCCGTATGTAAACGGAATCTCATTGGTTAGATAATTTTGATAGGTTAGCAGGTATAAATATGAAGTATCGTAAAACGGGGTATCTTTGATAATGCGGGTAACTTTGATAGTATATTATAAAGATTAAATTAACTCGCTGCGCTTTTTCTAAATTAGAAATATTGGCTCCGAATTGCAGCTTAGTGTATTTCCGTTGATATCGTATATAGTTTTTATATTGTATGAGTTAAATATTTTACAAAAATATAAAAAAAAACCATTTGCGTATTTTTCGCCTGTTTGAAAAAGCACTCAAACCATCATTTATGAAATGTATTTCCGATATGGCCATCACAAATTCAATGATGTATTCTTATTGACTATGTTGTTTTCTGATTATATACTCATTCAAAGTTTCATATTTACAGAACTGAAAAGTTTGAGTTTCACGATTTTTTTTTCTATATTCATCGAGCATTATCAAAGTAACCCCAAATCAAAATACTGATGTTCGGTAACACAACCTTAAAAATATGGCAAATGCTTTAATTTCCGTTAAACAAATAATTATCGAATTTACTCCTCGATCCTCAGTACTTGTTTTAAAAATATAAAATTTAAAAAATATTCATTGCAACAAAAAATTATTAGAATAAACTTTAAAAAATTATCAATGTTACCCCGTTTTACGGTAGGGTTTTTGATCTAATTTCCGTCCTACTAAGCGCATCCCGCACTTTACCTCTCTTTTTTGAAAGGGTTTGAACAAAACATTGAATGTTTTCATCAAAGATAACTTCTAAATTTATACACCTTTCCATACGTACCGTTGGATTGGATAAAGAGTCATTCAATGTTGAGATATTATATATTAAAAATCTAACACTGCTTCTTGATTCTAAATTCGTCCTACGAGTTTCAATTCCGTCCTAACGCATTGAAACGCCATTAGATTTTCTTCTTCTTACAGATAAACGTAGAAAAAGTGGATTCGCTAGTGGAGCGCTTCTTTTGTTTTGAGAACAATGAGTGTAAATATTCATACAATGCGCTGTAATAGGCTTTATTTTGTGGCCTATGAACTAACGGATCGGAACAAACGTATTATTGTTTTGCGCATGGTGAAATCATTGATATCATTGATGATTTCTGCTCGATAGAACGGAAATGGACGTAGCGCTCTTCCCTACCTAAGCTCGTTGAAGTCATTCTTGTAACGTATTGTAGAGGTGACGGACCACCAGCAGCAGCAGAAACAGCAGCAACAGAAACAGCAGCAGCAGAAACAGCAGCAGCAGCAAATACAGCAGCAGCAATAGAAGCAGCCGCACCCGTGGGAGCTGCATCGCTAATTCGTGTAACCGTGGCCGAGGCTGGAAACCTCGGTCCGTTCACGACACATCCAACTTGGAAAATTATGCCATAGAACAGTTCGACAGTGAGCATTCATAAGGGCGTAAACGCGACGATCGATTCTCTTCGTCGATTTTCTCTTTTGTTAATAACTCGCTCGAATTAACGTTTCTCGGTGCGTTTGCTGTCGCTTTTGATAGCCAATACAACCTGTTACAACTCTGCATTGAACAAATTCTTGAAAATTGTTTCGCTTATCTGTAGCAATGCAAAGAGGAAATCGATGAAGAGAATCGATCATCGCTTATACGCCCTTATGCATGCTCACGGTCGAGTTTATAAAATCCCAGATTTTTTGCTGATGGGGGCGAGGCATAGCAAGCCGTTTGATTGCATAATTTTCCATGTAGGAGGGACTTACAATGCTTATCTCTTAGCAGTACCGTCGAGTTTTTTCAGTGATAGGTACTGAAATTCGGCAGTGAGCGTTCAATATGGCCTACTTGTAATGGTCGATCCTCTTCATCGATTTTCTCTTTACATTGCTACAGCTAAGCGAAACAATTCAAGCTGAATATTGCATTAGATCCTAAGTAACATTGACAAGATTCTCTTCGTCGACTTTCTCCTTGAATCCACTTGGCCCAGGTATTTTCAGCACACATATCGATAAAAGAAGTTTTTATCTAGCATCTAATACGACAAATACAAGCTACGGTTATGTGCTCAAGTTATTAACGGAAGAGAAAGTCGACGAAGAGAATCGATCAATGTTAGGACCTAATGCAATGTTCAGCTTGAATATTATCTGAATTTTTTTCATTGTAGTGCACCCTCCCCTTGGCTAGTTTTTGCACCTTGCTGTTGGTGGGCGGGCTTAATTTCATGCTTTATAGTGGAGTGTTGGAGACGGTAGGTGGTCGGCGCTGCTGGCTCATGACGCGATAGAATGGCGTCATGGGCAGGCAATGGGATTACTAAGCTTCCCCTCTCTGATAAACCACTGCATGAGAGAACCAAAGATCTAGTCTAGCAGTGATAGTATCACACTTGTTACTCCTTTAATTGAGAGCCGCGTCGTAATACGCTTACGTATAGGCACTGACGTTGGGTGTGATACTGGCGGGTTTTGCCGCAAATCACTCTTATTTTATTTATTTTTACGCAGATAGATTTGTTTGGGTTTACAAGGGAATTATACTATTGAAATATTTCAGAAAGTGCCTGACGGTGCTCTTTCTATTTGCGTGACAAACTTTCATTGTTGTTTTCATTGAAGTATTACTCAGGAAACAATGTTAAACATCATTTATTGTAACTAATCTTATATGTGCTCCATTTTGATTTGGGATAAATGTTTGAACTATGGCTCGGGATTTCCACTGTGGCGTGCTACTATTGTGACATACCCATACGTATTTTTGTGGTGCGACATAGTGGAAGCGTGTGAGCATAGTTGGAACATATACCCTATATAATTTAAAAATCAGCTAGGAGACTAACTTCAAAATGAAGCATTTTAGTCACATGTTACCTGGGTCGAACTAAGATATAATAAATAGGTATAGGCATAAATCAAAAGTATTTTTTTTTTCTTAATTACTTTATTTGTACAGGCTCAATCGAATAAACTTTACAGAGCCAAGTTATCATTTTCTTTATACATTATGAATGTCTTAAATCTAAAATTAAAGGATTGGAACCGATTACTCGCGGTCTTCTCGAGGTTATTGGATGACAATTGTTTGGATCGGGAGAGGGAAAAGGAGATTTGGAATATGATTCTAAAATTTCACTATTTCTAAAACATATACTTAATCTTATCGACGTTATATCAACTCTGTAATTATACAATTATTACAGAAACAAATTTACAAAAAAAAAATACACACACACATACAAAACACAAACTAAACACAAGGTTAATCAAACTTACAATCTATGGTTAATATTCTTCAAGAAAACATATATGAGTTGCATAAACTCCAGATCGCGTCTAGCCAAAATATCCCGAACTGGAACATTAGGTTGTCTACCTCGAGCCCGAAGGGAATCGTACAACTCGGATCTGACTCCACGGTGCTCAGCACATGACCA